CAGGGTTTTTTTGTGGTTTTTTTGGTTTTTTATTTATTTATTTATTTATTTATTTATTTATTTATTTATTTATTTATTTTTGAGGCAGTTCCAGGACAGGCTCCAAAGCCACAGAGAAACCCTGTCTCGAAAAACAAAACAAAAATCACCAGAAAATAGACTTTTTTGTTTTGAGGAGTTTTTTTTTTAATTTGTATATATATATATATTTTTTTTTCTAGACAGAGTTTCTTTGGATCCTGTCTTGGAACTTACTCTGTAGATCAGTCTAGCATTGAATTCACAGAGATCCACCTGCCTCTGCCTCCCAAATGCTGGGGTTAAAAGCAGGCACCACCACCGCCGCCCGGTCCTAAAAATAGATTTGTTTTTTTAAGTAAATGAAACTTAAGAATGGAATTTCTCTGTTTGATTTACTCTGTGCATTAGTAAGAGTTTGTAGGAGGGTCAGAAGTTAAATTAAAAAAGAAAAAGAGGGGCTGGAGAGATGGCTCAGCGGTTAAGAGCACTGACTGTTCTTTCAGAGGACCTAGGTTCAATTCCCAGCACCCACATGGCAGCTCACATCTGTCTATAACTCCCAGATCAGACAAACATGCAGGCAAAACATTAATACACATAAAATAATAAATAAAGGGCTGGAGAGATGGCTCAGTGGTTAAGAGCACTGCCTGCTCTTCCAGAGGTCCTGAGTTCAATTCCCAGCAACCACATGGTGGCTCACAACCATCTGTAATGAGGTCTGGTGTCCTCTTCTGGCCTGCAGACATACAGACAGAATATTGTATACGTAAAATATATTTAAAAAAATAATAAATAAATTTAAAGTAATAAATAAATTTAAAAAGAAAAAAGAAAGAGCTGTGCTGAGGCCAGGGAAAGAGTAGAGGTGAGGCTGGCTGGAGAATGATTCTTCCAGTTGTAGATGGGGTCCATGAGGGGATCCCTAACTCTGCTGCCCTACCCATGAAATTTAGAAGGGGATGCCTTCCCGAGGCAGTTACAGTGACAAGGGGGATGATTTGGTGGGTTGGGATATAAGCCTTCCTCATGTAGTACTTACTGCTTAATTTAAATGTCCCATTGGGCTACAGTGGCCTGCCTGGGCACACAGTCAAGTAGGGAACAGAGCTGGGATTTGCACACAGTTGCACATAGGTCGTCTGGTTTCAAAGGCGTGCAAAGGAATGAGAGGGGAACGTGGGCCCCATTGGTTGCCTTGTGTTTGGCGGGTGAATAGGAAGAGCATGGTGCAGAGGCTGGAATTGAATCACGGGGGATATAGGCAGGCACCGTGGATGCTATTAGTTAGTCTTTATTTTTAAATTGAAAATTTTCATTTCGTGTGTTTGTGTGTGTGTGTACATACACACAAGTGTGGAGGGAGGTAAGAGGAACTGGTTTTCCACTTTTACCATGTGGACTGAGGAAGTGATCTCAGGACATCAGGCTTGGTGACCAGTGACTATACCTCCACTTGAGCCATCTCACCTCCCCACAGTAGACTTTTGAGTCTTGGTCAGGTGGGTCTTAGCCAACAGGCATTTACAGTGGAGGGGTTGATAGACATTGAGATGGGGGTTCCTGTGTTTTTACAGAACATGAAGTAGGTTGTGTCCATTATGATTCTCAAGAGGGGACTGTGCCTGGAGCCCAGAGTTTTTATGTGTGTCTGTGACATAATCCCTGGATGACTTTTTGATCTCAGTTTCAAAAGGCTCAGAAGACAGTTTTAGAGACTGGGGAGATGACCCAACGGGTAAGCCTGACCAGAGTTCAATGACCAGAACCCATGTAAAAAGTCTTTGGCCAGCTAGCCTGGACAGCAGCACAGAACGGTGGCAGAGAGGAGAGACATGGTCTGCAAGGTGGAAGAGAGAAGTGATTTCTAGAATGTTGTTTATTGACCGCATTCTTACCTCAGCATGGACATCCACACTCCTAATTAATTAGTTGATTAATTAAAAACTTCATTTGACACCAGAAGTGACTGCGGAATAAAAGTCATACACGTTGTGGCTTGTGTCTGTGTGTGCGCACGTGCACATATGAATTTTAGATTGTTTTCCGGTTTAATTAGATGCTTGCTCATGATTTGGGTGGTGTCATAGGTTGGGTTCTTGGGAAGCCGACTCTGAGATATCAATTATCAGACAGACACTTTAGTAGGGCGTGCCCTTAAGATTCACCCCTGTGGAGAGGAGGGGAAGTCTGCAGGATTGGGTGGAGAGAGGGGCTGAGGTGCACTGACAACTCCTACTCCTGTCATTGTCCGCCTACTCCTCAGGGAACTTCGGAGAGCTGGGAAGTACCCTCCTGTCATTGTCAGATAATGGCTTCTGGCTGCCCTTACCCTGGTAGAAAGCAGGTCCCGGGGCAGGGCGGTGTTCTGTAGCTATGAGCCTGTGGGCTGCCTTTTGGCGGCACTCCGGTTGCTAGGACAGTGAGTTCTTCATTCCTAGTGAGGTATCTGGTTCAAACATCACAGTGTGTACGTCACAGAAAGAAAACTGCAAAGCTTCGGAGCCTTTGTAGAACAAGGTTCCCAGCATTCGGGCAGCAATGATTTGTGAGCCACCAGACCTGGCCTGGAACTCACTGTATAGACCAGGCCGGCCTTGAACTTGCATTAGTTTTCTTGCCTTTGCCTCTTCTTTTTGATTGTTTTTTGTTTGTTTGGTTTTTGTTTTTTTTTTATTTTTATTTATTTATGTATGTATGTATTTATTTATTTTGGTTTTTCAAGATGGGGTTTCTCTGTGTAGTTTTGGTGCCTGTCCTGGAAATAACTTTGTAGACCAGGCTGGCTTCAAACTCACAAAGATCCACCTGCCTCTGTTTCCTGAGTGCTGGGATTAAAGCCATGCGCCACCACCGCCCGACTGTCTTTGCCTCTCAAATGATGGGTTTATAGATACATTAAAATTTTTAAGATTTATTATTTGTGTGTATGCACATGGGTGGGGATGTCAAAGGACAACTGGAGTTGGTTCTCTCCTTTCACCTTGGCGTAGGTTCTGGGGACCAGCTTGCATCATCAGGTGGGAAGAGCCTTTAACTACTGAGCTTTTAGTCATATCCCTCCCCAGGAAGATTTTCGCATTTAATGAGGGCTATTTGATTTAATTTCTTGTTCTGTTGTTACACTTGAGTATGAATTCAACATTAAAACGATAATGAGCCAGGTGGTGGTGGCGCACACCTTTAATCCCAGCACTAGGGAGGCAGAGGCAGGCGGATCTTTGTGAATTGAAGGCCAGTACAGCCAGAATTGTTATACAAAAAAAAAGACCCTTCTCAAAAAAAAAAAGTTCATAATGAAAAATATGCGAAGTTACAGTATTAGAAATAACTTATAGATCAGTGTATCTTGACTTTTTAAGAGTAGTAGCATCTGAGGGGCTGGAGAGATGGCTTGGAGGTTAAGGGCCCTTGCTGCTCTTGCAGAGGACCCAGGTTCGGTTCCCAGCAACCTACTTGGCTGTCTGTAACTCTGGTTCCAGGGGATCTGATACCTTCTTCTGACTTCCTGGCGCAGTACATACATGCAGGCAAAGCACTTATGTATCTGTGATGTCAGTTTATTAGGGAGTGCTCTCCGGATCCACACTTGTGGAAAGAGGGAGGGTTGCCTGCTGTACTGGGAGATTTGAAACAGGAATCTTTCAGGGATTCCCCAGATCTGGAGTTGGGAATCCCAGCATTTGGGAAGTAAGGACAGGATGATTAAGATGCTCCAGGCCAGTCTGGTTTACAATGGGGTCCTTTCTCAAAAACAACAACAAAAATAAAACCCAACTGATTGTGTCTGATTGAAATCAGTGCATATAAAGATACTCCGTAGGCCTAGCTGGGGGCGTGGCTTGGTAGTAGAGCGCATGCCTGTGATGTACAAGGCCCTGTGTTTGATCCCCAGTACGGCAGAAACAAAGTACTCTTTAAACAGTGATGCCAGAAAGTGGGAGAACAACAGGGCTCTGGGGACCGTCTAGTGCAAACTCTTACATTTCAGTTAAGGAATGAGACCTCAGAGTCCAAGACTATATTCAGTTCTGTAGATACATAAATAAAGGAAGGCGTACTTGAGTATGGTAGCTATGCTTGCAGTGTACACATCTTTCTGCCTTTATCTGAGGACTCTGACTTAGAGCTATAAATAAGCACATTCTTTGTAGATTTGGACTTTGAAAGCACAAAGGAGGGTGTGTGGGGGTGTGTGTGTACGCAGTTCTCTGTCACTAGCTTGAGGACTTTACTGTGAACTCCGATGGTTCCCCTGCTCCCCTGTTACTATTTCGTTAGCGTCCTCATATCTCCACCCCCGCCCACACTACCTTTTCTTTCTCCATTTGGCAAGTGTGTGACTCCAGTGAGGTGAGCTGAGCTCAATTCTAGTCGTCGCTGGGTGTCACAGCCACCCAGCTGTGTGTTTTCGTGCTCCTGGCTTTACTTGTGGTCTCTGTTGCTTGTGTAAAATTCGGCTACTGACTCTTGTCCTGTGCTGTGTCCTGCTTGTTTCAAGGTTCAAACAATGTAACATCTCCGAACCCTTTTGGAAAGGGCTAATGTTGTACAAATGTCAAGTGGTGGTTTTACCCTCATTACCCACCCTTCCTTCCCCTGCCTGACTTGCCTCCAGCTTGCTGGCTTTCTTTCAGGATTGTTTTGACAAGTGACAACAGCGTTTGGTGGAGCTCTCTCTGAACCATGAAATGTCATTCAACAAGCTCCCTTTCGACCAGTAGGAATGTCATTAGAGTATTAGGAGCCATAGAGGAAGCTAAAAATAAAGAGAGGTTGTGTTTGAAAGAAATGTTTTATGTCTATTGATAAAAGTAGTACTGGCCTGCCCACTGTTGTAACAACACATTGAACGTGTTTAGGATACTGGCCAGCTTGACCCTCCCTTTACCTTAAGCTCCCAGCCTCATTTCCTAGCTCTGTTCCTCCTTCTCTGTGGAAGCTCTCTCTCCTGATGGGTCCCTTTTTTTTCTTCTCAGGCTCTTTGGTACAAGGCAAGGGATCAGTGTACACTTCTCAGCCCGACGTCCAAGTTGCCGAGAATAACTGTGAGTGGGCCAGAGCTATGAGGTCATCAGGGTGGGGGTTGGGAGGATGTAGCTGTGGTTTGGGGCTGCTTCTTTCTCTCTCTCACTTTGGTCCTGTCTGTAGCTGTCAAGCTGTCCTGTACCTACTCTGGCTTCTCCTCTCCCCGAGTGGAATGGAAGTTCGTCCAAGGTGACACTACCACGCTTGTTTGCTATAACAGCCAGATCACAGGTAAATTGTCCCAAAGATTGCAGAGTCATTGGCACTGCCCAGCCTGGGTTCCTGGGGTGGGGACATACCCGGAGCTCTGAGTATTTCCTTTTAGCGGAGAATGAAGGATGTACCTTGGGTCCACCTTCCTCTTTTCTTTGCTGTCCAGTTTACTCTGTCTCTTCTGCGCCCCTGTCTCCTTATAGCTTCCTATGCAGGTCGTGTTACTTTTTCGTCCAATGGCATCACATTCAACTCTGTGACCCGGAAAGACACTGGAGCGTATACTTGTATGGTCTCTGAGGACGGTGGCCAGAACTATGGGGAAGTCAACATCCACCTCACCGTGCTTGGTATGTGCCGTGTAACTTCGTTTAGGCTTAAAACCAGTTGCTCCCTTAAACCTGATAGTAGACTGACTGCTAAGCTTTAGGCCTTGCAGATGGGGAGACTATAGAGAGGGTGAGTGCCCCTCCCCTCCCCCACCCCGTTTAATGGGAACTCGGGGCATACAGGTTGCATCTCTAGCTGATGGGTTGAGAGTGTCATCCTGGTTTGTTAACCTACACTTATGTAACCCTATTGTCCTTGCGTTCCCTCCCTAGTGCCCCCATCCAAGCCGACGGTCAATATCCCCTCCTCCGTCACCATTGGGAACAGGGCAGTGCTGACCTGCTCAGAACAAGATGGTTCCCCACCTTCTGAGTATTCCTGGTTCAGGGATGGGATAGACATGCTTACAGATGCCAAGAAAACCCGTGCCTTCGTCAATTCTTCATACACCGTTGATCCAAAGACAGGGGACCTGGTACGAAAAGGGAGAGGTGAAAGGTAGGGGGGCAGCCGTAGAACCCCCGAGAGTGGGAACGCAGAGACATCAGGGATGACAGCATCAGAGAACTAATGGGGTAGATGCTTGATTTATTCGAGCAAGAAGCCAGTGTAGTCTCTTCCCTCTAGATCTTTGATCCTGTGACAGCCTTTGATACTGGCGAATACTACTGTCAAGCCCAGAATGGCTTTGGGACAGCCACGAGGTCAGAGGCCGTACGCATGGATGCTGGTGAGTAAGATGACTGCGGCCTGAGGTTAGAGCTGGGGTACAGTCAGAGGCCAGTTTTCATGTGCTTATTGATAGCTTTGTCAGTGCACAGTTGTCTGTCAGGACACCTCACCTCTTAATTTGTGTCTCACAGTGGAGCTGAATGTGGGGGGCATCGTGGCTGCTGTCCTGGTAACACTGATTCTCCTTGGAGTCTTGATTTTTGGCATCTGGTTTGCCTACAGCCGAGGATACTTTGAAAGTAAGTGGCACCCCCCCCCGCCCCGCCCCTGCCTTGTGCTACTGTACCCAGTTGGATGTTCTTTGTCTTTGCGTGGTTTGTGGGTAGCATCTGAGTATGGACCCTGATACCGTGCTCCATGTGCTGGTACCATCTGCCCCGGGAGCATGGATAAGTTGATTTAGTTCCTATCAAAAACCACATACTACTTCCCCCTAATGCCCTTCTCATACTGCATTCTGTTCTGATAGTAATCATGGTCTCTCTCTTTCTCTCTTTTTTCTTTTTCAGGAACAAAGAAAGGGTGAGCGGTGGTGCTGTCCCAGGGTTCTCTCGTTAAAGCATGGGCGTGTGTGGTTTGGAGCTGAGCTGAGTCCCAGGAGTGGGGTGGAGAGCTAGGTGGAGGCAGCTGTTTCAGAGGGAATGACCCTGCACCTTGCACTTGGTTTTTCTGCAAAGGTTTACCTTCTGAACCGGCCCCCCCCCCCCCCCAATCCTGGCAAGGATACATTGTTACCAGGGTTTGAGTGTTTCCTATTTCTGCTTTTCCCTTAGGACCGCACCAAGTAAAAAGGTGATCTACAGTCAGCCCAGTACTCGAAGTGAGGTGAGTGTACCTGGCCTGAGGAGGGGAGGCCTGAAGTGAAGTGTCTAACCTGCTTGTGTGTTGATGAGCAAAATGAGACTGGTGTTGACTGACGTTTTATTTCCCTAGGGGGAGTTCAAACAGACCTCGTCATTCCTGGTGTGACCTCCTGCAGCTCTTCTGTCTCTTCTCCACTTGTCTTACTCAGGTGCTACAGGTTCCAGCCCCTGCTGGCTGTAGCTGCACAGGATGCCTTCAATGTCTTCTAGGTCTCACAGGACCCCTTGCTTTTATTTTAGCTAGGATACGGTTTTAATAACGTTAACGTCGGCTATTTCTCCATTTCTCCCTCCTCTTTCCTGCCCACCATGGCCTGAGACTAGTTACAAAGTCTCATTCCCTGTTCTGATGTGGAATTGGACAAGAGTCCTAGATTAGGCAGCAAAAATGACTGGACTGACGGGAACCTGAAACCAGTACCTGGCTGTAATGGCCTTTGAATAAGAACCTTTAAGCCTAATTCCCCAGTTTTCCCTTCACTTGATGAGGATGGTTGCCAGCTGCTCTAGAGTGGGAATTGGAGAAAGAAGGACTGAAGCATTCGGTGGTGACCTCAGCTCTTTGGTCTTTGGAGCCTTCTGTCCCCACAAAATGTGCCACTGGGATTCTTCTCCTGGATACAAGCAAATTGCTACCACGTCTGTATGAGGTGGGAGAACTCAGCACCCTCCCAAGAGGCTTGGAGTAAGAGAGATTTAAACTACTAATCTAAAGAAAAGGCTGGGACTTGTAGCCGGCAGTCACTCTTCCCTTGACTGGAACAACTGCACAGACCCTTGTAAGATGTGTGTGAATTCTGGAGATTATAGTCTTGCCGCTTTGGTGGACTCTGTGTGTGTGTGTGTGTGTGTGTGTGTGTGTGTGTGTGGGAGAGAGAGAGAGAGAGAGAGAAACAGTGTGAGAGAGAGAGAGAGAGACAGAGAAAAACCGTGAGAGAGAGAGAGAGAGAGAGAGAGAGAGAGAGAGAGAGAGAGAGAGAGAGAGAGAGAGAGAGAGTGAGTCAGAGAGCGCGCGCTGGGCTTCCCCAGCTCTTTGGCAAGGTTGTGTTTCTGTGTGTTTATATTAGACGTTGGAAATAAAAATTTGGTTTGTCAAACTTGTTTTTGTTGAAGTAAGGGAAGGAGATCTTTAAGGGACGGCTTCTTTGTATGAACAGGAAAATATGTGAAAGTTCTGCTTCCCAGCAACCTGTGGCTGGCCCTCAGGACTGTTTTCTTAGCTCAAGGCAATACTTCAGGGAAGTCAGAACTTCCTCGCAGCCTCCTACTGCTGGGTGAAGCTGTAACTCTGCTTGCAGGAAGTGGGTGGGTTCTCCTTAGCCCTTTAGTCCAGTGGGGAAGAAAGCACCCTGCACTGTCCTGCCTGTGTGTATAATGGACCAAGGCTTCTAAGGGGGCGTTCTTTGATCATTTGAAGAACTGCTTTAATATTTGAGACAGCAGAAATGACAAGATAGCTCTGGGTCATTGCTTTCTTCACTGTGGGCCCCTTTCAGCCCCTGGAAATTAAACACTTGCCTAAGGGTCTTCCACCAATAAAGCATTTTCCAAAGGAAATTAAATCCAACTGAACAATAAAAGAAAAATTTGAAACAGTTCAGTAAAGATAAGACCTTTTCAAGTCTGTTTCAATTTGTTGTCATGGTTGGGGGAGGGGTGGGGGCTGGGGGAGGGGAGGGTAAGGGTAAATTAAAGGGACCAAGGTCCTTTACCCCTTTAGATAAATAATTCCCTCAGGGGCTTCTGATAAGTATGAATCAATTTACAGTCTTGGAGTTTATCTCTCCAGGTTACAACAGCCCTTGGAAATGCCATGTCTACTTTTATTTCCCAATGTCAAAACTAATTTTTGTAATAAATGTTTATTTTTCACATCGATTTTGTGTAAATCCTGAAGTTCTACAGTAAGAGAATTGGGACTCCCGGATGGAGTAATAGCTAATAAGCTGACAAAGGGCTTGCCCTAGCATGGCAGAAGCCCTCGGTTGGATCCCCAGCACTGCACACAATCAGGTGTGATTGCGCACATCTGTGATCCCAGCCTTTGAGAAGCCGAGGCAGGAGGTTCACAAGTTCAAGGTCATCCTCAGCTAAACAGCAAGTTTGAGATCTTGTCTCAAGACAAAAAGGAAACAAAAAACTGAAAATGAGAAGACGGGTGAAATTAAGGGGAAAAAATAATTATGACTTCAGAAGTAGCTTGAACATCTAAAATTTTCCTGGTAGTCTTGTTATTTGAAATTTGGGATGTCTGTTCATATGTCTCTTAAAAACATTAGTTTTTAATTTTAAATAGGCGTATGTGTGTGTGGGGGGGTATATGCAGGTCCCAAGGAGGCCAGATCAAGCCTTGGATTCCCATTGACCTTGAGGTTGAGGCAACAGTGCTGGGAGCTAGACAGGTCCAGTGGAAGGAACAGCAAGTGCTCTTTGTTACTGAGCTATCTCTCCAATAGCTACATTTTAAAAATAGATTCATTTGGGGACTGGAGAGTTGGCTCAGTGTGGTTAAGAACACTGGCTGCTCTCCAGAGGCCCTGTGTTCAATTCCAGCAACCACATGGTGGCTCACAACTATCTATAGTGAGATCGGGTGCCCGCCTCTGGCCTGCAAGCATACATACATGGAGGCAGATCACCGTCTACATAATAATAAATCTTAAAAGTAGATACATTTTAACTTACCTTCTTTTTCATAGGCTTGTGTTTGAATGAGAATGACTTAGAAATTGCTGCTATATTAAAGATTTGGGCCTGGGGGATGGACCATTCCCATGGGCATTGTTTCTGTGAGCTAGGTACTTTGAGCTAGTATAAAACTGTTTAGGATGCATCTGTTGTTTTTTTTTTCTGGTGAAGGTACAATTTGGCGTGCACACTATTGTGTTATGATTGTCACAGTCACATTAACACTTTATCTGAGGGATTGGCTGTTATCTGAGGGTAGTTCAGGAGTAGAGTCCCTGTGTAGCACGCTCGAGCCTGGTTTCAGCTTCTCCAGAGAGTAGGAAGGATGAATGTGTCTTCCATAACCATGCTGCCCTTTAGACACCTCAAACTTTGACCAACATGGCTGTTGCTGGTTTTGACAGGATCTGTAGATGAAGGCCGATGATTGAGGAAGCGGAAGGAAATGGAATGAGGTGACAGTTTAACAGAGTGGCTAGAAGAAGAAAAGATGTTATCTTCAGAAATGGTCTTGAAGGGCTGGAGAGGTGGCTCAGGGGGTAAAGGCACTGATGACCTGCGTTTGATGCCCTAGATCCACATAATAGCAAGAGAGGTGACTCCTGCAAGTTGTCCTCTGACTTACACATGTGTACTTGTGTATACACAAAATAAATTTTGTGTATACACAAAAATAAATAAATGTAATCAACTTGGGTTTTCTATTGCATCAATGAAACAGTGAAGCACAATGACCAAAAGCAATGGGGAGGAAAGGATTTACTTGTTTATTTTCATCTTTATTTATAGCTGAGGAAAATTTCATTTTATATGTGAACCATATTTTCTTTATCTGTTGGTAGATATCTAAGCTAGTTTGAGGAAAGGGTTTATTTGTCTTATACTTCCATATCACTGTTCATCGTTAAAGGAAGTCAGGCCAGGAATTCAAATGGCGACCTGGAGGCAGGAGCTGATGATGAGGAGAAGTGATGAGTAGTGATGCTTACCAACCTGCTCCTCGTGGCTTTGTTCATCCTTCTTCCTTTTTTAACTTTAAATTTTCGTTTTTTGTGTCTTTCACATCATGCCTCTCGAGTCCACTCATCCTTCCTCCCCAAATAAAATTTAAGAGGAAAAAGGAGAAAAGAACAATCTCATCATAGAAGCTGCAGTGAGACACAGTGAGTCAGGCAGTAAACCCCTTTATCCGTGCAGGTGTTCATCGCAAATTTTTTGATCTGATTTGAGGCCCTTGACCTCTGCTTCACCATCGATCCTGAACCCTCACTGGGACCCCTGGACGTGCTGTTGGCTGCCCTGTGTTGTGTAGGTCCTGCAGCCCCATGTCCACAGAACCAACGCCCCACCACCACCACTCCGTGTCCCAGCAGATCACAGATGGGTTGGATGTTCGGGCAGGTCAGTCTAATCCTGGTTCTTGCCTGAATAGCCGGGTTAGCCCTCCTGCCCTTCAGGAAGAGCTCTCCAGCATTGCCCTGCCTAGTTCACCCCTTGCGGTGTTTTGTTTGCACTCGCTTCTCCCATACCTCCCCGTTCAGAGCCAGCTCTACTGTGTTGCCCAGGTGGAGGGGCCGTTCTCCCGAGTGCTGCAGCTGATGAGGTTCAGGAACAGCTCTTCCAACTGCCTCAGGCTTCGATGAGGGGCATCTCCCCCCCCCCATGCTGCTCCATGTCAGATGAATAACGGGGACAGCTTTCACATGCTTACAGTGTCTCCTGTACCCACACCTTCGCGAACCAGGTCAGTTTTACTGTGCCTCAGGCGAGTGCTGCACCCCGTAAGGGAGAGGGGTCAGCTCCCTTGCCCACACAGGTGGTGGGGGTGGGAAAGGTGGGGGGGGACATCCTTGCCTCGCCCTCACCACCGCACGGCAGATGACGGGGCGTGGCCAGCTGTCCCACTCTCACAGCCTAAGGGCTGTCTCACCTGAGCCTCTGCCAACAGGGTCAGCTCTACTGTACTGCCTAAGTGAGGAGCAGGGCCCTCTTTCCTGCGTGCTGCAGGGGGAGGGTCAGCTTGCCTGTCACAGGTGGTAAGGGGCAAGGGGAGCATCTCTGCCCTTTCCATGTCATCAAAAGACAGAGAGTACCGGGGACAGCTCTCCCACGCTCACACCTTCGGGGGCTGGCTCATCCACACCTCCACCGACAGAGTTGGCTCTTTGTTCTGCCGGGAGAGGTGTAGGACCTGCTTTCTCAAGTGTGCAGCTAGTAAAGGGGTCAGTTGCCTCACCAGCTGGAGGCAGGAGGGGCAAGGGAGGAGGGCATCTTTCCCTTGTACCCACTGTAGACATGTTGGTATCAGCTAAGATCGCTCTCACCACCCTCAGAGCTCGCTCACCCTTGCCCTTATCTACAGGGTCAACTCTGTAGTGCTGCCTCGGTGAGGCGGAGGGCGGGCGTGTTTTCCCTAGGGCTGCTGCTGTTGAGGGGTGGGTCAGGTACTCCACGTGCTGCAGGTGGTGAAGGGAGTCCTGTCGGCTGCGGCTGTGTGGCGTGGAGCGGAGCTATTGCTATATCCAGGTCCTGGGCTCGAGTCCCCGCCAGCCACATGGCGACCGGGAGGTGTTGCTGTTACAGTATTTCTGCTTTCTTACAGAACCCAGGATCACTAGTCCAGGGGTGGCTCCACCCACAATAGGCTGGGCCCTCCGCGATCAATCACTAAGAAAATGCTCTACAGGATAATCCACAGCCTGATCTCATGGAGACATTTTCTCAGTCGAAATTTCCCCTCAGATGGCTATAGTTTGTGTCAAGTTGCCATAAATGTAGCCAGCACAGTAATTTATAAAAAGTCCTTTTAATTCTTAGGCTTCTCCAATATATTTATTACCCCTTCTCTGGCTTTGGCTGTGGAAACCCAGTATGAAATGGAAGTGTTTGTTTGTTTGTTTACTTATTTATTTATTTAGGCACAAAGTTTTTCTGTAGCTTTGAAGCCTTTCCCTGAACTCGCTTTGTAGACCAGGCTACTCTCATGGGGATCCGCGTGCCTCTGCCTACCAAGCGTTGGGAGGACTACCACTGCCCGGCATGATT